CAGCATACAAGCTCTAGGCCAACTGGAAACTTCGGAGTACCCAGCACAGTCACAGAGCCCAGCTTTTCTGACTTTAGTAACTAGTCTGACATTCAGTCCCAACCTGGTTTACTCAGATCAAGGTGAGCTTTGCAAGGTGAGCTCCAGGGATTAGCTACATCTTAGTATCCTCTGGGATCCTGTTATAAATGAGAAGTCTCAGGCCCCACATTGGTCCCACTGAATCAAAATAATCAGAAACTGCATGTTTGCAAGATGCTCCACATGATTTGAATGCACATTCAAGATTTAAAAGCACTGTCCTAGAATCACCTATGCAGTTTTCAAAGAGTGTGAATTTCCAGGAACTAGAGTCCAAAATTAGAGAGAAACAGGTAGAGGAATATTGCAAAGTCCAAATACATGTTTGTTTGTTTTTTTAAACTAGTTTTCTTGTGGTCTCCTATTCTCAAGAAAACTGAAGTCCTTTCTGGAAGGAATCAAAGATTAATTTTGTTTTGTCAACATATGTCCCTGCAGCCAACAGGCAGCTCCCTCCTCCCAGAAGCAATGTTGGTGAGTCCATATGGGCCATCTTTAGGGCTGAACTCCACAATGCAGTAAATGAATGGAACAATTCTGCTTTATCACTTTTCTCTTCTGTCCCAATCCTCTGCCCCCAGTTCACAAGGAGGTTTACACTGTGATGTCCATATCAACAGCAAAGCTCCTATATTTTCTCTTCTTCTGACCTACTGCCTTAATCTGGTGTGAAAGAAGGAAGGAAAGTCAGAAGGGAGGGAACAAATCAACATGTGAACATGTGTTATACAGCTACTATGTGCCAGACCCATCTCATCCTCCAAAACAGTTTACATGTATTTCTCATTGAACATACATAAAAATATGTAAGACTGGTATTAATGCCCCAATTTTCAGAAGTGGAAACTAAAAGCCAGATAGGTTAAAACTCTCCCAAATTAAACAGGATCTAATATTAAAGTTTTGCTGCATTCTTTTTACTACCCCCAACTTGCTTACATATAATAGTATATAAGTAAAAACTTTTACTCAGATGTATTCCCATACCATAAAATTGTTTAGTGGTTTTTAGTATAGTCACACAATTATGAACTGTCACAACTATCTAATTCCAGAGCACTTCCATCAACCCAAAAAGAAACCACAAATCTGCACGCATGTGCGTGCATGTACACACACACACACACACGTACACCCATCCCTGGAAAATACTTGGTCTCTGTCAGTTTGCCTCTTCTGGGTATTTCATATAAGTGCTTTCATACCATTTGTGATCCTTTGTATCTAGCTTCTTTCACTTAGTATAACGTTTTCAAGGCTTATCTATGTTGTAGCATCTATCAATACTTTGTTCCTTTTTATAGCTGAATAGAAGTCCATTGTTGGATATATCATAATTTTGTATCCATTCAAGAATTAATGGATACTTGGGTTGTTTCCACCTATTGGCTTTAGGAATAATGGTCCTATAAACATTTATGTACAAGTTTTTGTGCAGACATACATTTTCAATTCTCTTGAGTATATACCTAGGAGTGGAGTTGCTGGTTCCTATAATAGTAATTCTATGTTTAATTTTTTGAAAGATTGCCAAACTGTTTTCCAAATTGGCTACCTTCCCACCAGCAATGCATGAAGGTTACAATTTTTCTATATCCTTACCAATACTTATTATCTGTCAATTAGCCATCCTAGTGGCTGTGAAGTGGTACTCTCTTTGAGGTTTTATTTGCATTTTCCTAATAACTAATAATGCTGAGCATCTTTTGTATTTATCTTCTTTGGAGAAAGTATTCATTGCCCATTTTTAAATTATGATACTTGTCTTTTTATTGTTGAATTGTAAGTGTTAAAAAAAAAGAATTGTAAGTGTTCTTTATATATTCTGGGTAGTAGGCCCTTATCAGACAGATATTTGCAAACATTTTCTCCCATTATTTGGGTAGTCTTTTTACTTTCTTGATAACGTTCTTTGAAGAATGAAAGCTTTAGTTTCGATGAGATCCAATTTACCTATTTTTTCTTTGGTTGCTTGTACTTCAGGCATTCTTTTTTTTTTTTTTTTAAGGCATTCTATCTATTAAACTGTTGCCTAATCCAAGGACATGAAAAGTTTATATCTGTTTTTCCCCTGAGTTTTATAGTTTAAGCTCTTAAGGTTAAGCTCTTAGGTTTTTGACCCCACCCTGAGTTAATTTTCTACATGGTATGATTTGGGGGTTCAATTTCATTTCTCTGCACATGGATATCCAGTTGTTCCAGCACCATTTGTTGAAAAGACTATTCTTCCCCCCACCCCCCCATCAAATTGTCTTGGCAGCCTTGTCAAAAAAAATCAATTAATTCTAAACGTATGAGTTTATTTCTGAACTCTTCACTCTAGTCCATTGATTTATAGGTGTCTATCCTTACACCAGTACCATGCTATCTTGATTATTACAGCTTAGTAGTAAGTTCTGAAATTTCAGTCAGTGTGAGCCTTCCAACTTTGTTGTTATTGTCGTTTTTTCAAGACCATTTTGGCTATTTTGGGTCCTGTGTCATAGTTTTCAGTATACAAGTCTTACATTTCTTTTGATAAATTTATTCTATATTTTTATTGAAAATCTTCAAGTTTGCTGATACTTTCTCTTGCTGGCTAAAATCTTTTGTTAAGCCCTTCTACTGAAATTTTCATTTTAGTCATCATACTTTTCCACAGTAGAATTTCTATTTGTTTTTTTAAAATCATTTTTCTCTCTTCATTAATATTCTTTATTGAGTGAAACATTATTCTCATACTTTCTTTTTACTCTTTAGACCTGCTTTCTTTTACTTCTTTGAATATATTTATAATATTTGAGATAACATCTTTGTCTACTAGGTCTAATATCCAGTTTTCCTCAAGGACAATTCCTATTGATTGGGAGGTTTTCCTGTGTACTGACCAGTTTCCTGTTCCTTTGCATGTCTTGTAATCTTTTGTTGAAACTGGACATTTAAAAAATACAATGTAGTCATTCTGGATGTGCAATACCTCTCCTTCCCAGGTTTTATTGTAGTTTCTGTTGGTTATTATTGTTTGCTGCGGCGGCTGCTGCTGCTGCTGCTATTGTCTGTTTAGTGACTTTTATAAATTAATTCTAAAGGATAAAGCCAGAAGAGAGGCCTGAGGGGGTCTGATGGCCCTTCACCTGCTGAAGTCTTCTGAGGCTTTAACCCTCCCTGCCTGTCACAGGATTCAAGCCACTAAACCTCAGCTGTGCCCTGGAGGAGGTCAAGGGGAACTGTAGAGTGGAGCAGAAGCCTGAGCCAGACCAGAAACCACTTCCTCTCCCAGACCACAGCTCTTCTTTCAGAGACTGACATGGCCCAGCTGGTGACTACGCAGATGCTGTTCCTCCTGGTGGGGGTGGCCGTAATACGGACAGCGTGGCCCAGAACTGAGCTTATCAATGTCTGTATGGACGCCAAGCACCACAAGGAAAAGCCAAGCCCAGAGGACAAGCTGCATAAGCAGTGCAGCCCCTGGAAGAAGAATTCCTGCTGCTTCACCAACACCAGCCAGGAAGCCCATAAGGATATTTCCTACCTGTACAGATTCAACTGGAACCATTGCAAATCAATGCCTGCAAAAAGGACTTCATCCAGGACACCTGCCTATATGAGTGTTCCCCCAACCTGGGGCTCTGGATTCAGGAGGTGAACCCAGGGCTGGCACAAGGAGCATATCCTGCACATGCCCCTGTGCAGAGAGGCCTGCGAGCAATGGTGGCAGGACTGCTGCACCTCCTACACCAGCAAGAGCAACTGGCAAAAGGGCTGGAACTAGACCTCAGGGTATAACCAGTGTTCAGAGAGAGCTGCCTGCCATCCCTTCCATTTCTACTTCCCCACATCTACTGCTCTGTGCAGTGAAATCTGGAGTCACTCCTACAAAGTCAGCAACTACAGCTGAGGGAGTGGCCGCTGCATCCAGATGTGGTTCGACCCGGCCCAGGGCAACCCCAACGAGGAAGTGGCGAGGTTCTATGCTGGGGCCATGAGTGAGGCTGGGCACTGTGTGCTTGGGCCTCTCCTGCTCCGCCTGGCCCTGATGCTGCTCTGGCTACTTAGCTGAGCTCCTTTTATCTCCTGATACCTGCACAGCCCCGCTCTGTTTGGGCCCTACAGCTCCTAGCTATTTACTCATGTTCGTTGGCCAGGGATGGAGCTCTGAGAGTTGAATAAACCAGGCACCCACCATGAAAAAAAAATAATAATAATTCTAAAGAAGTCTATCTTCTTTACCATGTGTGGAGCACTGAAGGCTCTGCTGAGTCCACTTGGTAGTCAGCTAATAAAACCTGAGAATTCAGATTTATAGGCAATTTCCAGACACGTCACATAGTGACAATCCTCTGGAAATGAGGCTTTTTGGAGCGCTCCAAGACCATTCTGACCCCTTCCCTTGGCTGCTAGTTTGCCAGTCTGCATGGCTCCTATAGTGGCAAGGCTGTTGGTTTCTAAGGCTAGTGCAGAGGTGTAGTGAGAGGGGTGTAAATAAGCCAAGTTACAGTGCCACCATGCTCATTGTGTTCAATGAGATTCAGCCATTTTTCTTTAAAAAATGCTTGTCAGATTTTTGTAAACCTTTGCTTAATTTCCAGAGTTCTGAAAAAGTTGATTTTGACTATTTTTGTTCTCATTGCTTTTCTGGAGGAGGAGATTTTTCAGAGGTCCTTGTTCTACCATTCTGTATGTGCTTCTCTTGAAGAAACATTTATAAATATCATCTTGATTCAATTCTCCATTGTTTTGGTTTCCTTTCTACTCACATAATACTCCTTCAGTGAGTAAATCATAAAAATCAGAGGAGAGATACAAGAAAACATATTTTCTAATTCTTTAAGTAGTTTCCTTGTACTATGGTGCTATGGAAGAATGTGTCAAGAGCAAGGTGGATCAAAGCTGTTTATTTCCAAAAAATAAACATAAATCCAAAGGCACAGTCTTCCTACATTTTATGCTAGTCACAAAAGAAACTGGGATTGGAGACATGTTCAATAAAGGAGAGCTAGAAAAGGATATGTAATATTCCAAGAAAATAGAGCTTTTATGCCTAAATTCCCTACAGGGAGTAGTGTGGTGCTTCTAAATTGGCCGAGTATGTGATTACTCAACTCTGAATTTCACTTTGCCAGCACTAAGCCTTTTATCAACAGCTTTCTTCAAATAGCAGATGCTGAGATGAATGAGATGCAAAATAGAACCATGATCAGTACCTTCCCCTTCTTGAGCAAAACTGGAATTGTAAAGGGTCATGCTGACAAGTACCATGAGATTCACTCCTGGGTGATATCCTGCGCCAAATTCCAGACACCAGTTCATTTTAGGGAGGAGTGGGAAGGAGATTTGCATGTATGACTTCACACAGACGCTCCAGCCCTGGAGCATATAAACAGCTGCAGAGTCACAGGTATTACCCAGTACCGGGCCCAGCAGTTTCCAAATAGGTCAAGACCATGGCAGTCCTTAGCTCCACACTGCTGCCACTCAGGCTGTTTCTATGCTTTGGACTGTTGTGTTCTTCGGCCAGCTCTGCAGATGACATTGACAGCTGCATGCTCTTCAGTGAAGTCACCACCACTGACCAAGGCATCATGGCCAATTCAGATGTCTACGAAAGCAACACAAACTACACAGGTGAGGAGAAACCATTCTTTGTTGTCCTTTGTCTTCTGAGGGGAGTTAACTAGAATTTCAGAGCACTCCCCCTCCACTCCTGCTCTCAATCATACAAAACATATGTTTTTGACCCAGATGGGAAATGGAGATAGAAACAAAAGAAGGGAATATGTGTGAGAGAGTTGGCTGGGTGGAACTGTTTCTGCTCTGTTCTCTGTGCAAATCTGAGCTGGGAGTCATTAAATCCTGATACCCAGGTTAACTGAGCCCCAGTAAGAGCACACCTGCGGCAAATTCTCACACTTAAATAAAGTGGGCATTTTTATTGTTTTCAGGGATAATAAGTCCACCAAAGTGTGTGGTCTGTTCACATCCATGTGATAAAACAATGCCACCATGGATGATGGTATGTTGCACAACACGGGGAGGCACTGTTTGCCTTTAGTGTGTGGGTGGAAACTCTAGTGAGCTAGGGAGGGAAAGTGTTCCTCTCACACCTTGTTTATGAGCAGCCCTGCAGCTGAGAGAAGTTAGGTGGCAGCTCAGGGTTCCCCTGCTAATAAGGGGCAGAGCTAGCTCCTAAATCTCGGTCTTTTCTTCCCAATCCAAGGCTTTTCTTCGAAGTGCCTCGGAACATTTTACGAATATCCCATTTGGGATCAGCCACACCTGTAAGTCAAGACAGGTGCTTTCTGATTACTTTCATAATAACATTTAATATGATTACATATATTCATGCATTTAGATCTCGTGATAACCTGTTAGGCAGATAACATACCATGGTTATTCCAGTTTCACAGATGAGAAAACAGAGGTAGAAGTGCTAGTCACTTGCTCAGGTCACAGAGTTCCTTACAGGATGGAGCTGGGATATGAACCAGAGCTGTCTAGTTTCAGATACCTGGCCCATAGATACTCTATGCCCCTCACTTATGGTAATGGGAGCTGAGACTCCTTACTACGTGCTGGATGCGGTTCTCTGGGTAAATGCTATTGTTTTCTCAAATGAGAACTGCAGCATAAGGGAGTTAAAGTTCTACCCAGGCCATAGTGGGTAGCATTGTTAGTATCTGAACCTAAGTAACAGCTGAGATTTGTCCAGCTCTGTTCAGCCAGGCTGTCTAGCTTCAAAGCCTGCTGTCTCACTACTGTGTCATCTTGTTCTCCTAGAGCACCAGGGTGATGTCCACACCCATGAACCACAGATTCCAGACTTGGGGCAGGAGAACAACTATTGTCTGTTTTCACACACTTGTCCCAGCTTGTCCTTCTTTCTTTTCTTCATGGGGTCTGTCACTAAGGGCTTCAGTTGTAACTTGGGTCATTGTATCCCACCCACTTCCACAGGCAGTGGGTCTTGTCCTACCAAGACAGGGAGGATAACCTTATAATTCAAGACGAGGACAGAAAAGCATAGGTGTGATCTCGCACACAAAGAAGGACCTGGGGGTCGTCAGAGGGACTGCTACAAAAGAGATCACAGACTTGGGACGTAAGATAACATAACACAAGGTGAGGGATTTTGCTGTTGAAATGGAAGGAAAAGAAACCCATCTTGTGAAGATGCTGTGGGGGAGATATGTAGAATGGGGGCCTTCTGAAAGTAGCAAGATAGGAGAATGAACAGTCAAGAGAGGATCCATAAGACCCCTTGAAAGGCAACATGCTGGGTGAGGGGAAAATCAAACATTTACAGAGGGGTTGGGTAGAGTAGAGAGAAAGGGAAAGGAGGAGGAGACCAACTCTGGTTCATTGAATGCCTACTTCGTGCCAGGCACTTCTTCAAACTTCATCTGACTTCATCTCAGAACAGAAATGTGCTAAAGCTCTATGATAAACTGAATCACTGTGTGAGTGATTTGAGAGTCAAAATCCTACGCTCACGGAGATGTGAAGTGCCAGACTCCACACCTAGGATTATATTACATAACAGGCTTCATGATTGCCTCGTGAAGCAATCACGAGGGACTCGAGATCCCAATCACTGGGACTCGAGACTTTTGGAGAGACTGGGTAAAGACCCACAGAAACCAACTGCTTCTCTTTATTTTGATTTTGAATTTTTTTTTAATTTCAGGGCTTGTGTCTACATTGGTAAGTCATGCATAAATGGTTTGGCACATTCCACGGCACAAGTGCAGCTCAGGCAGGATCTTAGAAGAGGTTCCCTGGGTCTGTCTTGATATCAGTGAAAGAAACCCAGGACGCAGTGACATTTATATTAAGATTGTGCTGGGCAAGCATCTGCCTCCGTGGGCAAGATGGCTATAACCTGCTTGCCTTTTTCTTGAACCTTCATCTTTAAGGGCATTGTATAATACTGTATAATACACAACTTTTTAAATTAATCCGTGAGTAGTTATTTAGTGCCTTCCAGATCTCCAGTGTTTGGCTGGCCACATATTGACATGGATGAAACCACAGTATATAGTACAGATAGAATGAGTACTCAACTCTACAATAACAAATGTAAATGTTTCAGGAGTGAGAGGAAGGGAGGCTAAACTGGCCCAGAGGTGGAACATAGGCAGGGTCCTGGAGAGCAAGCAGGGATGGAATGTGTGATAAGGCAGGGTTCCAGACATGAAAAAGGCCACGGACTGGCTGGTGTGGGCCAGGTACATCTGCAGAACCAGAGGAGGGCTGGCTGCCCCTAGAGCAGAAGTGCGAAAAGCGCGGTCAGTTAGGCTAGGAGGGTCATAAAAGCCATGTGTTGGGTACTATAATCAACAGAAATGAACAAAGCAGAAATGTCTAGATTATTTAGAAAGACAGGCACTTTGAAAGTTCTGGAGTACTGTGTCCTGATGGAAATGCTGTGCATGGAATCTGATCTGGCTATGTCCTGAAGAGAGAAGGTAGAGGCCAGAAATCCAAGTGACAGATGCCTAGGAGGGAAAAGAGGAAGCTGGAATCCAGAAGGCAAGAAGGAGAGAAGAAATGGCGAGACAAGAGTTTGCCCGTGGGAGGACTGACAGACTTGGTGCTCTCTGCAGGACAGCACCACTGAGCACCATCCATCTCACCGTTGTGCACACATCTAGAACTGTCAGCTTCTCACTGGGCAAGTCAGGGCCAGTGGGGTTTGGCTCAGCCTACCTTGATTTGGACAAACAGAACAGAAATGTTTTGTGCTAAAAAATAAATAGATAAATAACAGTCGCAATTCATCTGACACCCATCATGTGTTAAAGTCTTACACTCTTCTCTGTGCTCCTCCAGGAATGCTGTAAGATAAGGTAGTGTGATCTCCTTATAATGAGGGATGTCATCATCCCCAGACCTAGGACCAGACCTGCTGCAGAGTGGGCATTAGATATACACTTGTGGAGTGAGTAATGAACAATAAGGAAACAAAGGCTGAGGGATGAAATGACCTCTCCTAAGTGGGAGAGCTAAAATTCTTATTTAGAACTGGCTGATCCGGGGATCCCTGGGTGGCGCAGCGGTTTGGCGCCTGCCTTTGGCCCAGGGCGCGATCCTGGAGACCCGGGATCGAATCCCATATCGGGCTCCTGGTGCATGGAGCCTGCTTCTCCCTCTGCCTATGTCTCTGCCTCTCTCTCTCTCTCTCTCTCTCTCTCTGTGACTATCATAAATAAATAAATTTTAAAAAAATTAAAAAAAAAAAGAACTGGCTGATCCTACTGTGCTACCTGCTCGATTTTCTTTGCTTTGTAAAAAGAAGTCTTTGAATGAATTTTGGGTGGCTGACAGGGCCCTGGAGAATAACCCTTTAGTGCTGAGAAATTCTTCCAGAAGGGATCTTCTAAGGAAGGAAATGGACAGACTGAATGAAGTGTCCTCTTGAAGTTCCCTCTGTGTTACACATCAGAATACTGGAATCAGCCAGTGTGAGTGAGGTCCCTGTGACCATACCCTAGGCTAAGTCAGCAGGAAGACTCACCTGACTGGGGAAGGTCAGGAAGCCCTAGGATTATATGACAGGTACTGAGGCTCAGAGACCCCACCCACTCCCTCATGCTCAACAACAGAGGCCAAGGGCATCAATGTTTCTGGGACCAGGAAATGGACTCTGCTTTGACTTGGCACTATTGGTCCCTTTATGTCATGACACACTTCTCGGGGGGCCCACTTGATCCTTTCCCATGCATTGAGCCCACCTCTTCCCATACTCTACTCCCCCTGAGAGAAGGGCAGAACAGGCTGTCCCCTTCATCTGGCAGACAGGAACCTGGCTCTGGAGGTTAAGAGCCAGCCAGGATCTCACCCGTGTGACACAACAAAACCAGGGCAGGCGCACATGTCTTCTTTTGTTTACCTTTTACTGGAGAAAATTTGGAGAACACAAAAATGCACAAGGCAGAAAATAAAAATAATGGATAATCCCACTACCAAGAAATCACCATAGTAAGATCTTATACTTCCTTCCAGACTTTTTTCTTCAACTTCATTTAAAATGGGATACAATGCCCAGAGCATGATCCTAGAGACCCAGAATCAAGTCCCACGTTGGGCTCCCTGCATGAAGCCTGCTTCTCCCTCTACCTGTGTCTCTGCCTCTCTGTGTGTGTGTGTCTCTAATGAATAAATAAATAAAATCTTTAATAAAATAAAATAAAATAAAATGGGATACTATATGTATAATGCTATTGGTAACTTCCTTTTTCACACTGATGTTTGATTTCACTATCCTCATCCTGTCTGACTGCACAGATGGCTGATTGGTTCCTTACCCTTTCCTCCTAGTGTGGGTTCCCGTGAATGCCAACATCACCTCTGTGGTCCTGCAAGCAGTGGATGCGAACAACAACTCAGTAGGCCTCTGGGAAAAAGTAGATGAGCTTTGCAACAACAGTGTCCTGTATCACCTGGAAAACCCGAGTGACGAGCTCTTCACAGCAAGCTGGGTATCTCCTAACTCCACGAACATAACCACAATCACGCTACAGTAAGAATCTATCTCTATGTGATTTACTTTGGGCTTTTACAACTGCAGATGGGGTTTATGCAGTTTCACACTGACCTTGGACAACTCAAAACACCCTAGACATGATGTAGAGAATTTAGTAGCTGAATTCCTTTTCTGCCTCATTATTCTCTGTCCTACCTTCTACCTACAGGAGTTCACACACATGCACAAACCCCCAGGCAGACTCATCATAGACAGAAAGCTCTGGTCACAGCTGTACAGTGGTTAAAGCCAAACAAGCAAAGAAACAAATGAAAACAAAACTTATTTGGGGAAAGAGACTTCAGGATAGGACCAGGCTCAATTCTGAATACAATGTGGGCAAGTGGGAATTATAGCCAAGAAGCAGGGTGGGAGTCACTGAGAGGAGACAGTTAAGGCCTTATAAGGGGGATTCTGGCTAAACTGACCTAACAGGATTCTTGCAGATAGCAGGCCAGGGCCCTCAGGTATTCCCTGGGAGTGGTAGAGGAGGAAGGAGTAGGTATTCAGGGTAAAGGGTGGAAGGTACTTGCTCAACTGACTTAGCAGGGTTCCTACTAAAACTGTATTTTACAAGCAAGTGCACAGATAGGCTTGAGAGGGTTCTAGAGCCTGACAAAAGTTTGATTAAGCAAAGATCTTTGTCACTAGCCATGCTGCTTGCTTCAAATTCTGGAGAATCATTTTTTAAAATACAGATTCATTTTGGAAATGCCAAGTGTGATGATTGTGTCATAAAACTGGCTTCCTAGTGTCATACAAAATGGACATGCTCAGATTGTGAGGTGAAGCCACCTGGGGGCTTGCAAAAGACGTTCCTCTCAGCTAGCAATGTTATCCAGGTTACTTCAGGTGTCCATGTTGAGAGGCCCTCACACTTTCAGACTGCCGCTTTGTACTGAAAGGGCAGGTCAAGCCATGTACCCTGGTCGTGTCCCCTGGGTCTCTGTGGACACTGGTGGTGATGATGCTATCAAGCCATCCTGCCTTCTCCTGCCAAACCCAGGGCCTGGTTGGACATAGCTGGCCCTAGAGAGGTAATTTTGCCCACAGTGACTTCGGAAAGTGGAAATCTAAGGGAGCTGCTACATTCCAGGCTCAGGAGGACAGTAGCCTCTTCGAAGCCAGCAAAAACTAGTCAGGGCAACGACTTTGCTTTCTCTTACCTCATTAAACCCTTCACACTCCATGCTACAACAGATAAAAGGCCCAACTGTGACAACCTGCCACAGAAACAGCACATTCCCACCCACAGTGCAGTCTCCAGACCTCTCTTAAACTGCACTGGCCTCTCTGGTTTGGTCCCCATGCCTGAGAGGAAAGGGGAGCAGCACGTACAATGGGAGAACAGAGAGCAGGGAGCTCACTGTGCTGGGGGGGCGGGGGGGCAATGGGATGTGAAGAGGCTCCTGCCCACAGGGCTCCACAGTGAGTTTTGGGTAGGCAGGGCCTCTATGGAAATAATTGCAGATGTTGAACATCACTCCTCAAGAAAGCATTCCCTAAAACCCAGGTCAAGTTCCAGCTTCCTTTTTTCACTCTCATAGCTTCCACTGCTTTGTCATAACACATATCACAATTGGGATCTAATTATTTAGATATTTTGTTATTCCTTGTTTATTGATTGTTTTGTTTCAAGTCTGTCTCTCTGAAGAGACGGTAAAGTGCCACAAGGGTGAGAACCCTGCCTGTCTCCTCCACCCATGTCCCCTCGGCACCAAGCACGGTGACTGACACGTGGCTGGAGCACTCTCATTAGTCAACTGTTCAAAGTGTGAACAAGAGACTGAAATAATAACAGAGCCACTGATCTAAGAACAGCACAACAAGCTGTACAGATTGTTTAATGAACATTAAGCACCTCCTATGCATCAGGCATTGCTGACAACAGAACCTGTCCTCCTGCCGTGGCAGGACTGGCTCACAGCAAGGCAGTGCAGTTGAGGGGCATGTCTCTCTAATGGAGCTCCATCTGGGTTAATGACAACAGGGAGACATGGCTTCACAGAGGCCACTGTTGAGTATATAGGCAGATGGGACCAGGCCGGAGACAATGGGTGGAATTGGCTTGAACAGTGACCAGGTGTGCATGCCAGCCTGTGGGGAGTTCAGGTGCTGAAGATGGTGGGGGGGTGGGTGATGGACAAGAGCTTGACTGGAGCAAGACCACGGAGGATCTTAGTCAAGACAATATTGACCAGATCAGCAATGATCTGTTGATTATGCTTGAGAGAACACTAAGGTGGGGATCCTCTGGGAAGGCAGAAAAGGGAGCTAGACTTGGGAGTTCCACAGCTGAGAGCCTCACCATTATCTCTCATTGATTTACTCTCCACAGAGCCTTCACTATTAATTTCTATGATGTGGCTACATTTTCTTCTCTGCAACTAGAAAGAAAAGGTAAGTTCCTCTGTGGCCTATTTACACATTTCCGTCAGCCTGGAAAATTACTTGATGAGGGTCCCAGAAGAATCTTCTAATCATGTGTTATCCAGATGTCAGTTGAGTTTCCTTATACCTGAGACCTACAGAAGACAGCTCGACCCTTTATCCTACACCCTGTAGGAAACAAAAGCCATTCCCAAGATTTTTTGCCAATTCCTAGGGGCCTCTAATTCTCACAGCCACCTGCAGCTCCAGACTCCTGCTGCCTCGGGAGCCGTTATGTCCAATACCACAGGGATGGATAAAAGAGTCAGCCCTTTAATTTCCACAAAGAATTCCCATTCGCACAAAGCCTTCCTAGGTATAGCAGACTCTAACCAAGGGGCTCAAGGGGAAGAGGGGGAGATTTGCACAAAGAAGCCTTGATAGTGTAGAAATGCTCATAGTTTCCTTAGTTCTCAGAGTAGCCTTGGCCACCACCACTACCACAAGGGATTTCCACTGACCTTTCATAAGTTGTCGTCCCCAACTTCCAATTATCCTGAAGTTCCTTGTCCTTCTCCTCCCTTCTCTGTCGTCTTCCTTCTCTCTTGCCTCCTTCTAGGGAGCTGAAACAAATTCAAGAAACTGAGGTCCAGGAAAGACAGGTAACTCGTCTGAAACCACAAAAAAAGTAAATGGAGAAACTAGGACTCATAGCCCACATCTTACACTTTCCTCTCACTTTTCTTAGACTTACATCAAAATTATAAAGGCAATCATTTTTAAATATTCATTTATTTACTTGAGGGGGGAGGAGAGAGAGAGAGAGAGTAGGAGAGTAGGAATAGGGGCAGAAGGGTAGACAGAGAAGCTGACTCCCCACTCAGCAGGGAAGCCTGAAGCAGGACTCGATCCTAGGACCCTGAGATCATGACATGAGCCAAAGGGAGACACGTAACCAACTAGGCCACCCAGGTGCCCCAATAATCTTTCATTCTTAATGAAGTTTTTAAATACAAAGTTCAATCAAGAACAAGAAACATTGGTCTTTCTCAATGTCCAGATAACAGATCTTCCTTGGGAGCCCCCCAGTACTGAAATACGTGCAGCATGCTGCCCATCTTCCTGCTGGCCATACACTGCAAATATAGCCACAAGAGATATCTATTTTCAACAATAAATTTTAAAGTTTTTCTGCCTAAGGAAACTATTACATGAATGCCTTCATGGCTTCCTTGGTGGTTTCCCTCTGTGAAAAGACAGGGGTGTTATATTCTTCCTGAAGGACATTTTCAAGATGAATACTCATGTAAATGCTAAGAAAGAAAAAAAAAAATGTTTGTTTCCGATCAGGATTCCTTAGGTCCACACTAATAAAATCCAGTTTAAAAAAAAAAAAAAGGAAGGAAGGAAGGAGTTGTGTTCAGACTCTGTGGCTCAGTGAGATACTGGTGAAACATCTGCCCTGGGAACACTAAATGAGTTAAAACAATGCCTCGCAACTGGTAGGCACCCTCCCGCCAGGGTAGAGTGCCTGGGCCTGACCAAATCATGGGACTTCTCTCTCCTCTTTCCATATAGTTCTCTTTGATCCACATACTATTGGAGGCATCATAACAAAGCTCCAGTTTTTCCAGGATCAGCCCCTGGCCTGGTTCTCTCCAACTCTCTGCAAGGCAACCTCAGAAAACCAAAGGATGGTCAGACCCCTGCACAGGACAATAAGCAGTGCCTCTGAAACCATAGAAAGAGATTCAGGGGTCTGGATGGGGCCTCCATTCACCTGCTTTAGAGTGGGGGTAGCTGTCCTCAGGTCTGGATGATATCTAGTTCTTATCAACTTTGTGTGCAACCTTTGAAATTAGTAAGGAAAAAAACTGTGCCATTCTGGATCATATTTGCACTGATTGATCTAATATAACATTAAGGACATGAAGACATTTGAGGACAGACTACCCACCCAATAATAAATTCAGTAGTTGTATAAACTCCTTCTCCCCATAGGATTGTATAGACCTTAAGGGTAGAGAGTGTTTCTTATTTGTTTTTTCTTCCTTGACATTCTGTACTCCCTAGTTTTCCTCCTCTTTTACATATACTTGGCCACTGAGACGTGTTGACTGAAGTTTGCTCATGAATTTCTGGCTCTGGCCTTTTGTCAGATTAGCCTCCTTTCTCTAGTGTCTCCCCCTCCAAAAGAGGTCCTAATGCCATTGTGGTTTTTTTTTTTTTTCCAGGCACAACCACCTCCCAGATCTCAACAACCAGGACAACCTCACATCCAACCCCAACAACAAAACATATCTCCACAACAACAACCCCACACTCAACCCCAATAACAAAACACATCTCCACAACCAAGACAACCCCACACCCGATCCCAAGAACAACCAACTTGGCCAACAGAACCTTCCTCTGCCCCATCACAAGTGCCATTCAGATCCTCCTAGTCTTTCTCACCAGCAAACTCCTCTCCTAGAAGGAAGCTAGGAGAATAATTGGTCCTGCGCCCACTGCATCCTCCTACGTTCAGTCTCAAGCCAGTGCTCTGATAGGTGTGCAAATGAAGACTCTACATTCTCAAATGTACAACTCTACTGCCACTGCTTTGGACCAAAATAGAGACCTGGAGGTCACTTGGTGGAGAGGGTAGCTAGTCCACTCACTGGTGGGCTCAGGGCATACAGATGTTCAACTGGATCTCTCAGAACATTAATTAGCCTTTTTGTTAACTACTTAGACCTGGTCTGGGTGTAACCCAGAATTCCGACTCTTGGTATCACAAGCTGACAGCCAATTCCATGGCCAGTGTAAACTTTTGTTCACTGTCAAATATTCCTCTACACCTGAGTCTCTGAGGGATAAAAAAAAAAAAAAACAACCTTTCTTCACTTTCAAGATGACCTCAGATTTCTGACCAACCCCACTCAGGCTACACAGACCTTCTGTGTTTCATGTCACCCAACAAGGGAAGGAAAAAATGATTAGCCTTGATGTTATTGGTCATACCAGTAGTATGTGAAGGGCTAGACAACAGGAATGTACCATGTCTGAGCAACCAACCATAGGGAAATATTATGGTATAAATACATTATTTCCTATTTTTTACCAAATAAGCTATACTTCAAACAAGAATAATGAATGTGTTAAATTCAAGTATGTCTTTAATGAATGATTACTCTAACCTAAAGTACAACCTGGTGTCTAATTTTATTCATGTATGTGAACCTTTAAAAAAATTAAAAGAATAGTGGGAGTGTATATTTTCAAAGCCAGATCTAAGGGTAGAGTTTTACCAATTTTACTTTTCCTCAGTATAAACTGGTCATTTTTCCCCTAATGGTAATTCTCACTAAGAAATGGGCAAAATATTTAGAGCACTCATAATACAATGTAAAACTAACAGAAAAGTGTGAGATTTCCAGTAATATCCTGGTAACAGTTTTATTTTAATAATTATGCTGAATTCCAGGATGCCAACATCCAGGAACGAGTCTTCTTTGGGGGCAGGTTCTGTCAACTTCTTCTTCCCTGTGAATAGGCCACACTTTCCTACGTGCAGGTCTTTAATTTTTGTTAAGAACTGGATGTGTTAAAGGTTATAACATGGTGGTTCTGGCAATCGGGCTCAGCCTCCTCTCCAGGACACGCTGCTGCTTGTTGCTTTACTTTTCTCAACTATTTCGTACAGACTGCATTCCTTGTTGAGTGTGGTCATTGACATCGCTTTTCTGTTATCTCAGTAGCAAGCCAGCTACCTGACAGATTTTCTTAAATTTCAAAATTTAGCAGCTTCTTTCTTCATTAAGCATTCCTCTAATAGCTGGAAGTTTTCTTTTCTTAGATCCTAGACCGCTGAGAAAGTTCACTCTGACAGTCTTTACCAGCTTAAAGGTTGCTGCGGTGGAGCAACAGATTCCTGGAGCTCCTCATCCTGCCATTTTCTATGACATCATTTGGTAGCTGTTATTAGTACTGCCAGGCACTGTGCTAAGCGCTTTGAGTGCATCATCCCATTTAATCGTCAGGACAATCCTAGAAGATATAGCTGTTTTACAGATGAGGACACTCAGGCAGAGACAGAGAAATCATTTGTCCAGAGTTGCTTAGTAAGTGGTGAGGCTGGGTTGACCAGGCTCTGACCAGGCTCTGACCACTTCAGAGCCTGCAGCATTAACCAGGATGCCTGAAGGGCCCCCTGCGTGGCTTCTGCATCTCCCAGCATCCCCCAGGAAAACCTGCCCCCCAGGGTCCTATGATAAGGACAGGGTACAGGTGTTACTCATGGACACAAGCTCCAGCAGTGCTCCTCCACACCCACTCCCTGCTGCCACCTCTGAGATAAGCTGCAGTGAGCCCTGACCCAAAAGCAAGGGACAAGCTTCATATTTATCCATCATAGCTCAGCCTGGCTACATCTCAGGTTCAGTGTAGAAGTTGGGACAACTATTGGGGACTCAGTAAAAACACTCTCAAGCTGGAAACTTTGAGACTCAAAGAAATCTGGGGAGCTGAATGCAGACAATGCAGCACAGAGGCAGTTACACAAGGCCATTGGATTCACAGGCAGGGAACATATGAAGTTCCAGCTCTGCTGCTCAGAAAGAAGGGGGACCTTCTGCCCCGGTTTCTCATCTGTTCCATACAGGGTTGGTCTAGGTGGCATCTGAGCCCTCTTGTGGGTGGCTCTCCATTTTGATTTCTCTGTCACATCCACACCTAGTTCTCAAAGTTGAGTCAGAAGTGGTAAGGCAGTGTGGCTCGATGCCATGTGTGATTGATGGGCAGAGGCTGCTGGGAGCCCTGTGGAGGAAGACGTGAAAGCCAGGCTCAGAGAGTGTCTGGGCGCCAGGATGGCTTAGTCAGTTTAGTGTCTGCCTTCAGCTCAGGTTATGATCTCAGGTCCTGGGATCGAGCCCCACATTAGGCTCCCTGCTCAGTGGGGAGTCTTCGTCTCCTTCCCCCGCCAACTCATGCTTTCTCTCTCTCTCATTCTCTCTCTCAAATAAATAAATCTTAAAGAAAAAAAGAAAAAAGAAACAGTGTCGTATTCAACAATGTTATCTCCCCTGGGCTCAGGAGGCCACACTGAAGTGGCAGGGCTTCCTGGTATCTGCCGTCCTTGCTCTTTCTTGAGAGAATCCAGTGAGCGGCCAGCAGAACCAGAGTAAAGGGATAGATGAGTATGGACATTCACCATCTAGGAACAGGCTAATCCTGATCCTCACTGATGAGAAGGTGACCAACCACAAGGAAAACAGACATATAGGATCTTCAAGGAAACCCACAGGGCTGCACCTGGTGCAGAGAAGAAAGAGGTGAACAAAAGATGGACTATTTCCACTCCCACACTCACTTACCCAACCTTGTTCTTCCACTTTTACATTTTCTTGTTTGTGGCTTCATGTTTTGTGAAATTCAACGTGGGCTTATCCTGAGTTGGAAACAGCAACTGTCCATCCGTTGAAGGGAAGTGAGCTTCTGTGCTGAGGAAGTAGGAAAGGAAACTGCTGTCTTCCAAATCCTGGTACCTTGAAGACCTTCACACAGCAGGAGGAGTCCGAACCCAGCTAGTGGTCCAGCTATCACACCGACCGTGCAGAACAGGGAAAACGTTCACAACAGGCAGAACACGCAGATGTCATCTTACTATCTATCAACCTCCACATTAGTTTTGAAAATAAATGTTTAAAAATATTAATAATGAAGTAAAAAAAACTTTATTATTTCACACAAGGGGCAGTTTGGCAATTGTCTTAGAAAATAAACTCTGGAAAAAAAAAAAGAAAATAAACTCTGAAGCCAGACCACCTGAGTTTAATTCATTTAATTTTACCCTTTATTAGTTGTGGGACCTTGTACACATTACTTACCTTCTGTGTGACTCAGTTTCTCCATCTGTAAATTAGGGAGAAATATAGTAGCTACCCACAGGCCCTTGTGGAGATTAAGTCAGTTAATACATATAAAGCATGTGGAACACTACCTGGCACAAAGTAAGCATATATAATTATCTAATGCCTAAAAAGGCATCACAAATGATATACTGATGTGTAAGAAAGCCACGTATTGTGCCCATATAAATATTTGCAAATAAAATGGTACCTATTACAAGGATTACAAGTACTAACATGTAACTCTTTTTTTTATATATATATTTTATTTATCCATGAGAGACACACAGAAAGAGGCAGTGACATAGGCAGAAGGAGAAGGCGGCTCCCTGCAAGGAGCTCAATGCAGGATTCAATCCCAGGACCCCAGGATCACATCCTGAGCCAAAGGCAGATGCTCAACTACTGAGCTACCCAGGTGCCCCACTAGGTCCCCCACTAACGTGTAACTCTTACAAGAAATAGTTCATGTCCGACTTTCCAGTTTTTCTCCACAGCCCCATCGCCGCCCTTCAAGCTTCTAAGTAAAATGCCTCCTTGTGTGCTGGGTCTGTTCCTTTCTACAGAGAAACTAAACTGTTGGTGAGGGGTTTAATTCTTCTACATAATAGTTAAGAGAGAGGGTGGAGAAGAAAGAGAGAAGCCAAGTTTGGGATGAGTATTGTGGGGGCTGAGATGGAAAGGAGCCTCTGCAGGCCGAGCGGAGGCTAAGGGATTTCCCAAGAGCTGCTCTAGGTTACAAACCGGTTACCTCTTCATGTCCTTCAAGGCATACAAGTGAAAATAAGAATTATTTTACTTCTGATGGCTGAAATGTTATTTCTTTGACTGCAGCTCAGCAGTGAAACTGGGACATATGGACCACCACCCCCCACCCTGCTTTTATATACGTTATGTCCGTGTATATAGATAGAATGAAGTTAAATATATATACCTGATAGAAGTGGGGAATAACTTCTTCAAAAACCCACACATTTATATATGCATATGGATATAACCTGTATGTAAAAATAGACTTTAGGTTCAGATGCTTGAGTTCAACAAACTCAAAAAGCCTTTGGCTAAAGGAACAAAATATGTAGATAGTACATTTAAAGAGCTTGGGAAAATTTTTTAATTGTTAATTGAGTCTTTTTCTCCATTTCTTTCTTTTCCTTTCCCTTTTTTTTTTTTTTCAAGCCAAACAAATTTAGGTTCAAATCCCAGCTCTTCCACCTAATGAGTAACTTTGAATAAGACCCTTCATCCCCTTAGACCCCAGATTTCTCAGTGGACTGGAGCCTCCTCCCACCTCACAGAGCCACAGTGATGGAGATGCTGGACACAGAGTGGTGAGCATAATGTTAAGCCAATCAATACCAACAACCTTAATTTGGTTAACAACACAATCTCCCTGAGGGTGGAAAACATTATACCCCACAATCTGGTTCAGTTGCATACTTTTTTTTTTCCTTTTCTAAATAGTTTTCTAGAATGGAGAATGGAGCCTTGACCAGTGTTGCCACAGATCTATTTAGTTCTACACTCTGCAAAGAATCCTGCTTTTAGGGGCCAACCAGATGGAATGATAAAAAGCATTGTGATACCAGCTGAGGCTCTCTCTGCCTGGGGCAAACCTACTCCCCACCAATCTTCCCACCAATCTTTATGGTTTATCCTGCCATTAAAGGGAGTACCTTGTCCGTGAGCACCTAAGGGCAGCTACCAAATGATGGTAGCCATGAGGATACAAATTTACTAAAAGATCCTCAATTCAGAAAGCTGGCTTGCCTTTAGTTAAGGTAGTAGTTGAGGACTAAAATAATTCTTACTCACAAATGGAAATGGAAAATCTCCAGGAAGATAAAATCAGTCATATAACCAAGTCTGGAGAAATACTTAGGGGGTTTTATTTTTATTTTGTGGTGGTTGTCTTCCAAATGGAAATACATAAAGAATAACACCTATGGGAAGTATCCTCGAAATTTCAGTATTAAATCTCAAAATGTTTACCTAACCAGGTTCAACCTGTTCTTTGGAGATGGCAGGCGATTTCACACATTCAATAACTAATTATTCAGCACTTGCTGGGTAGTGGGGCTCTAGGCTAGGTTCTGGCGAAATGAGAGTAATAAGACAATGCTGACATCTCCATGATCAGGAAAGACAGTAAACCAGTAAGCAAATAAATGAGACAAAAGGAAATACAGGTAAAAGTTTTGAGACTGCGAGAAAGGGGAGTATATAGGAATTACAACAGAAAATAACAAGGTGGCCAAGGAAGGCTTCTGCAAGAGGGGGATCTTTTGGCTGGGATCTGAGAATGATCGGTTTTATGAAGAGGTGGGAGGTGGAGGTGAGGGGGCAGCATTCCAGGCAGAAGGGCAGAAAATACAAAGATCTTGAGGTAGGAATGAAACTGATGTGCTTTAGGACTTGAAAAAAGGCCAGTGTGACCAGCTCTCCAGATGGAGGCTGTGGAGAACCAGTGGCTGGGTCATATGAAGCATAAAGTTTGGGTTCTGTTTTAAAATCAAGAGAAAGCTTTCAACCGGTAATAGGAGAGAAGAGAGAACTAAAGAAATATGGAGGAGAACCAAAGGGTGAGCAGGAGACCAGCAAAGAGGCCATGTCAATAATCCAGGCAAGAAACAGGGGCAGTTTGGCTGGGGGCAATGGCACTGAAAATGGAGAGATAGACAAAAATCATTGCATATTTTATTTTTTAAAAGATTTTATGTATTCATGAGAGACACACAGAGAGAGAGAGGCAGAGACATAGGCAAGGGAGAAGCAGGCTCCCTGTGGGGAGCCCAATGTAGAACTCGATCCCAAGACCCCAGGATCACAACCTGAGCAAAAGGCAAACACTCAACCACTCAGCCACCTAGGTGCCCCAACACTGCATTTTTTTTTAAACATTTTATTTATTTATTCATGAGAGACACAGAGAGAGAGAAGCAGAGACATAGGCAGAGGAAGAAGCGAATTCCTTGTGCTTAGGAGGGGCATAGAAGGGAGCCCTATGTGAGACTTGATCCCCAGACCTGGGATCAGGACCTGAACTGAAGGCAGACGCTCAACCACTGAGCCACCCAGGCATCTCTAACATTGCATATTTAGAAGTAGAACCAATAGAACTTTCTGATTATTAGAAATAAGTGGTAGGAATCCAGGACACTACCCAGATTTCTGGCTTGAAAAAAAATGGATGGTAGCAGCATTTTCAGGGAAGACTGGCGAAGAATAAAATCTAAAGGAGGAAACTGGGATTTTGCTTTAGGAAATGTTAACTTTGAGATGTCCATGTAGCACCTCGCTACCCAATGGTTCTCTCTGCAGGCAAAGTAAACCTTTAAAAGGTGAATCACAACACTAGCCCTTCTGTTCCTTCAGGTTGTCATCAGCCACAGTGATATTTGTGAAAAGTGAAAAGGGTTTTTATACTGAGTTCATGCTTTCACTAAATTGGGAGTTTTCATTAATAAACTGGCTGCTTGAAGGTGAACTTGGGCTGACGTGCTGAGGATTTGTTTCTTGGGCATCTTGAAGTATACAAGCCTGGGATGTCATTTCTTTACTCAACCAGGGGAAAAAAAAAAAAAGGAAGAAAGAAAGAAAAAAAAAGGTCAGTGCTTTTTTTTTTTTTTTAAATGATTAATACTCCTGTCTTCATAGTGACAGAATGCCAGTGGGATTTGGGGGGATAGATTCTGAAGGAAACAAATCAACTGATGAGCTACTTGAAAGCCTAACTGCCGCTTTGAAACTCCTTCCAGCACACAAACCACCCTCCCCTACTTTTTCTTTTGTGGTGATAGCAGTTCTCTCTGCAGCTATGTGGAGAGAGTGTTTATCTGGGACAGTTTCCAAAAGTGTCTTGCAACAGAATCTTGCTATAAAGTTAAACTGCGTGAAACTAACAATGATTTTTCTGTGTGCAAGAGAGACTAGAAATATCCCAGACATAACAAAAGCGAAACGAGCACAATCTGTTTCCCACCTTTAAAATAATTCTATTTCCAGAAGGAATATAAAAGTTTGGAATGTAAAAAAAAAAAAAACACACACACACACACAAAATGGACACTTACCATAGATCTAGTCTATGAGTAGCCGCACATATACAACTGATCGTATTCTGGCCGTTTCTATAACCCACTGGTAGTGACTACATCCAGTTCAGACTAAGTGACAGCTGAGTTCTGGTCATTCTGTTCACAGTGATACGGTCAATATAATTTTTCTCAACTTCTCACCTTAGAGAGGGTTTTAATTTCAAGAATCCCATGCTTTAAAGATCTGTGTATCTACCCACAAAACCCACCATGCTCATTGGAAACAACCAATGCTGCTCGGATATTTCACTCCTGTAAAAGGAAATGGGTTTTAATCCCCTGGTGGGGGGGGGGGGGCATGACAGCACCCCCTCCCCATAGTTACCTCCCCAGCCACCTCTCCTGCGGTCCTCGCAACACTTTGCACCTTCCCTAGAGTGTGAGGTGGATTTAGTGAGTTGCTTCTAAGGGACAAAATCTAGAAATGTGATTAGGTCAAAAGACTGTGGCCTCCGCCGTGCTGGGGCATGTGCTCACTATCACTCCCTTTCCCTGCTCACACTGAGGAAGCAAACTGCCCTGTTGTAAGCTGTTCTATGCAGGGGCCCCTGTGGCAAGAACGGGAGGGAGGAACTGAGGGCTCAGACCAACAACCCCACAAGGAACTAAACCCTGTCAACAATCCCATGAGCTGGCAGCTGACCCTTCCTAATCCAGCCTGGGGATAGATGACTGTAGCCTGTCAGTGACCTTGGGCCAGCAGGGACTCATCCAGACTTCTGGCACATTCCAACTGTGATAATAATGATAAATGTGCAGTTTTGAGCCACGATGTTGGGGTAATATGCTGTGTAGCAGTAGATAAGTAGCCCACTCCCCTTGCAGAGTGGCCATAAGGATAACGTGAGGTAATATAAAAAGTACTGAGCAAAATGCCTGAGGCCACTGCAGGCACTGTGACGTGTTAGCTCTGCCCTCCTTCCCTGCCGCTCCACTGCCTGAGCCCTGACAGTTCTAGCCACCATCACCTCACATCTGGAGCCCCATAATGGCTTTGCAACTGATTTCATTACTTCCCTGGGTCCAGCAAGTGATCCTCCTTAAAAAGCAAACAAATTTCAACAGCTCCTTATTTCTCAAAGGTTAAGAACCAAACTGATACTCAAGGCCTCGACTGTCCCCATCCTATATTTCCTAGCCTGCTTGCATCTCATCACCCTTCTATTAAAATAAATCTATTTGCTCTGCCCCAAATATACTTGGTCCATTTCCACCAGCATCCTCATGAAGGAACTGTACCCATCCAGTATGTATTCCTTCCTTTCTCCTGAACTCCCAAGGCCACCCTCCCTACCCCATCACTTCAAGGACCATTCAGGACTGACCTTCTCTACTAAGCTTTTCCAAACCTCATCACCCCCATGATAACCTTCTTCCTTGTCTAATTTAATATATACTCCTTTAGTATTTAAAATCACAAAGATAAAATCTGACAACAGGCAGAAGCAACTTTGGAAAGTATCAGGTCCAAGCATTCATTTTATGAAGAAACTAGGCTCTAAGACGAAAGGGACAATACCTGAACAGTCATGAGGACCAGAATTCAAGCCTCGAAACTCTCATGTTATTCTATTCTAGAAACATTTACCAAGTGCCTATTATGTATAGGGGACCACAGAATTTCAACACTTTCTATCAATATGCCATTCATTTATTTAATCAACAAAAAAAATTACTGGATACTCTACTTAGAATAAAGACTCTGCCCACAAGAAATTTAGGGTAGTGAGAACACAAAAAGGTAAAGCAATAGTTATTAATACAGCTCAATTAGGGTCTCTGACAGCAGGTTCTAAGAAGACATAAAAAAATCACCTACAGGGGCAGCCTGGGTGGCTCAGCGGTTTAGCATTGCCTTCAGCCCAGGGTCTGATCCTGGGGACCCAGGATCGAGTCCCACATCAGGCTCCCTGCGTGGAGCCTGCTTCTCCCTCTGCCTGTGTCTCTGCCTCTCTCTCTCTCTCTCTCTCTCTCTCTCTCTCTCTCTCTCTGTGTCTCATGAATAAATAAAATCTTTTTTTTTAATTTTTTTTAATTTATTTATTTATGATAGTCACAGAGAGAGAGAGACAGAGGCAGAGACATAGGCAGAGGGATAAGCAGGCTCCATGCACCGGGAGCCCGATACGGGATTCGATCCCGGGTTTCCAGGATCGCGCCCTGAGCCAAAGGCAGGCGCCAAACCGCTGTGCCACCCAGGGATCCCTGAATAAATAAAATCTTTAAAAAAAAATCACCTACATAATATTTTTACTCATTCTCTCCATTTGATAGACAGATTTCTCACTTTTCTAAGGAGAACAAGTAGAAAAAAAAATGTTCTCTCAAAGCAATTTATGAACAGCAAACACCTGGAATTTCCATGCTACTATGAAAAATAACGTTTTTCTAATGATTTCTATATCAGATCTACAAAATTAGATCTATTAAAAAAAATCCTTGGGGCACCTGGGTGGCTCAGTAGGTGAAGCATCTGCCTTCAGCTCAGGTCATGATAGCAGGGTCCTGGGATGAAGCCCCATGTCTGGCTCCCTGCTCAGTGGGGAATCTGCTTCTCCCTCTCCCTCTGCTACTCCCTCTGCTTGTGCTCTCTGTCATATAAATAAATAAAAATCTTTTTTAAAAAATCCTCAAATATACATACACTATCCTATTACCCTTTGTTTAGAGTCTGTGTTTAGGAGTCAGACAGACCCTGAGTGTCAAACCCTCAGTTTGCTCTTTATTTGCTGGCTGATCTTAGGCAAGTGGCTTAAACCCTCTTAATTTTAATTTTCTCATCTGTAAAATGGGAATAATATGCACCTTGCATGGTATCTGTGGGAATTAAAAATCCTGTCTTTTAAGTAATCAATATAGAATAAACATGCATACATAACAAAAATTGTGTCTGACTACTAAAACACATTCAAATTTAATTAAGTGGGCATTGCACTATTACCAAAATTTATTATAAAATTCCTGCATTACTAACTCTCCAAAATATTTTTTTAATTTTTAAAAAATTTTTTACTTATTTACTTGAAAGAGAGAAAGCACAAGTGGGGTGAAGGGCAGAGGGAAAAGCAGACTCCCTCCTAAGCAGGGAGCTAGACAACGTAGGGTTCAGAGAAGGGATGTAAGCCAGGGACTCCAGGATCATGATGAATCATTGTTGAAAACAGATGCTTAACCAACTGAGCCACCCAGGCACCCCCTAACTCTCCAAAATTACAGCACACTCCTTTGAAAAATTTTCTAGTATAGTAATCACCGCACAAGTCTTTTTAAAATTTTCAGGCAGCAACATTCTGAAAATCTATTGTGTACTAGCTGCTATGTGGAGAGAAAAATAAAACCCTATGTTTAAGAAGTTTAGAATACAAATGAGTACACAGGAGAGAACAATTCTTTGGGCAAACCAAGCAAATATATTCTTGTGGATTTAGTCATGAAGAAAAGATACCAGATGCCAAGAATACAGTTCAACTTAAGCAGGTAGAAGTTTAATGATCAGAACAAAATGAGGTCAATTAGGAAAAACTGTATATAAGAGATGCATTACAGTATAATATATCCTTTTCATGTTATTTAATAAGATTTAGTATATGTGACTATTCTTCAGTTTTCTGAATTAAAATTGTTCAGGTGGCCATAAGGTCTGGAAACATACACAAATATACATAATAGTCCAATGATATTCCAACAAATGTTCAATGAACATGCTGTTCCTCACTAGCAATTCATAGTTCAACAAGATGTGCAAAACTGCAGTCAACAATTTCACTTAAAGCAGTATTTTCATCAATCCTGTATATCCACCTACAACACATTGCCAAGGTGATCTGTGTGTCTCATTTTCACTGAATAAACTTGTGCCCTTACACATCTGAGAAGTAATCAAGAAAGAAGTATATGTTGTCAGTTTCTGGACTCTGTGGTCATCTGTATTTTTAAGTTTCACCTACTATAAGTCTTATAAACATTTCTGCCATTTATATTATACCAAAAAATTGAGTATTAAAAATGAGATAACGGAAAAACAAAAATTGATCTATTTTGCTTTCAAACTCCACACCACAACATTTTACTGAAAATGAAGTGATTTTTAATCTATAGATAAAAGACTCTCTAAATGATAATCAGAATGTTTTACAAGTTTGGTTTTAAGATAGATTTCAATTACAACAGGTCCTACACACAATGATTTCAATCAGTCGGGCACTCTAGAACACAGTGTGAAGGCATAACAAGTAGGTGATGACTTCTTAATAGTCCAGGGGGATGAAGACCTTTTTCAAATATAGAAAGAAATTAGTCTTTCTACAGTATTATCTCCTAAAAGCTACTCTCCTTTATAGACAACAATATTATTGTCAGTTTCATATACTTTTACTTTATAAAGAACTCCCAGAGGAAGAAATTTCTGGAGGTTTTCCCAGATATATACAGCTACATTTTCTGTTGTGCTGTAGGAAAAAAAAAGAAAGAAGATCAAAGACAAATATACAAAATTTCACTTTTGATATTTATAGAGAACAGAAATTCTAGATGTTAAAAGAGAATATTAAAACTTCAGAAATTATGCAGCAGTCAGATAAAATGTTAACAGCAATTCTTCTTTCTTACTATGTACATAAGGCAAGATGATCAGACTCACCTTACCACATCTGCAAAGTATGGTACATCCAGATCCAGATTCTTGTGATCAAGGGGCTTCATAATTGCCTCCTATAGTTAAAACAAAGGAAGGATACCACTCATTCCCTTTCAGACTCAAATTCCAAAGTGTTCTATCTTCACCCCTAAACCTTACCTCGTCAGTTAGCCACTAACTCAATACTTTTAAGAACTTCCTCCTTGTCTCAACGCTTAAAGTTGAAAAATAAAGCAAGGCCCAGATCTCCACCATGACTAGTTCTCCTTATTAACAAACGCAAAGAGGTAAGAAACTAACAAGTACAGGAGGATTCACTGGAGCTTTCTTGGAACCAGCCACTATGGTTCAGAACTGAATTTAACACCTTGTGACGGGCTGTCCCAAAAGTTACCAAAAACACTTCTCCATACAGTCTTCCCTTCTGCACAGAGCCACAATGTCATTAGGGTCCAGTGAGTAGTACATTTTACAAAGCAGACTAAGTGAAATTATGTAAGCAGTTCTAAACTTCTGCTATGAGGAGTAATTTAAGAATGGTCTTGGACACTTGGGAGGAAAAAAATGTAAATCTGTGGAGACCATTGTTTCCTAATGCTTATATATATTAACACAATGTTTTCCCTTGTTAGTGGCAAGGGCAGTAACTGCCTTATTCTAACTTTTTACTTTTAGCTATTGTACAAAATCTATGCATTTGAAAAACAATCTAATTTTCCAGCGGTATTGATCCCAGAATGGTACATTAATAATAATGGTAATCATTTTTTGAGCAAAAAAGGAACCATATAAAAAGAGTTAAGTCTTTTTTTTTTTTTTTAAAGAGTTAAGTCTTAAATAGACTGTAAAACAAATCAAATGAAAGGCTGTTCTACATGGAAATCAAGAAAATACCTGTTTTCTCTTCAAATCCAGTTCGGGTCCCAATTTTTCTGTCAATGCTTCTTTCACAGGCTCCTTCTGATTTTACTATCTAAGCCACAATGAGCCACTGTTACTGATGGGGCTGCGTGGTGTCCCTCAGACACACAAAATGGGGAAGAGTCCTCTCCAGAGAACCTCTCCTCTAGCATGTGGTCATATGCATGCATGGGATACCTCATACTTCCTATACTGTTGTCTTGTATTGTACAGCACTGTGTCCATATATATTTTATGTCCCCAATAAATGTAAAAATTCTGTCTTCATAGCTTTCCTAAAGTACTTGGAATACACTGAATCTTTTTTTTTTTTTACACTGAATCTTTTATTCATTTGTTCTTTTTTTAAAGATTTATTTAATTACGTGAGAGAAGAGTGTGTGAGCAGGGGAAGAACCAAAGAGAGAGAGAATCCTGAAGCAGACTCTCTTCTGAATGCAGAATCCAATGCAGGGCCAATCCCAGCTCCCTGAGACCACGACCTGAACTAAAATCAAGAGTCAGTTCACCCAACCGACTGAGCCACCCAGGTGCTCTCCTTATTCATTTATTCAGCCGAACCTTACTGACCATTTATTACTGTTTGCCTCTTAGAAAAAGCACTCTGCAGGGAAGGACTTTGTCACACTCATCTGTGTACTCCTGATACTTAGCCCGAAGACTGATACAGAGTGGACAAACTTGCTGAATATACAGATGATAAGTACCATGGAAGCAGTAATGATCATTAATAGCATTTTTATGAGACAAATGTCAGATTCTAAAACAAGAGTAAGGAGCAGAGGGGATGCCTGGGTGGCTTAGTCAATTCAGTGTCTGCCTTGGGCTCAGGTCATGGTTAGGGTCCTGGGATCAAGCCCTGAATCTGGCTCCCTGCCTCGTGAGGCCCTGCTTCTCCCTCTCCCTCTGCCTGCTGCTCCCCCATTTGTGCTCTCTGTCATATAAAATAAATAAAATCTTTAAAAAAAGAGAGAGAGAGAGAGAGAGAGAGAGAAAGGAGCAGAGTTTAAGTGAAGAAATGAACAAATAGGTAAAATGATGGAATCATAAAAACAGAGCTGGACAGAAGGAAGTCCACTCCCAACTTTGTAAAAGACTCACCACACAACCTAAGGCAAGTCAGTTAACTCTTCCGCCTCTCTTAGTCTTAATCTATGGAATGAAAAAGTTGGTTTAGATAATCTCTAAGGAAAAAAAAAAAAAGATAATCTCTAAGGTCTCTGACCAGGCAGGATTTCTATGATACAGTCAGCAAGTCTTTGAATTCCTTCTTCTATGTCATCCCTATGGTGAACTGCCTCAGTGAATTTAAAACTAGAGTGAATAACACAGGGTAGTGTTAAAGATCTATGATCAAAGGCATAAGGAAAATCCAGAGAAGGAAAAGAAAGCTTCAAGGGAAAAGCTGTGTCTTGAAAGAAAGGCAGAATCTGTTACACAGAGGAAATTGAGATACGCCAGCAAGAAATACAAGATGAGCCTGTTACTGCTATTCCCATCATTGCAATACAACTGGGACTTCTTTCCTTTAAATCACCCAAACACCTTTAGAAAAACATGAGAATGGTTCCTCCAACTACTTCCCTACTCCCATACCCAATTCCACTCACAAGGTCATGGAACCTCTGCAGATACTTGGTTGGGGAGTGATAAGGGGGCCATCCAATATACTTAGAGGACCATACATAATAAACATCCACCATGACGTTACCTCCATATATTCTTTGAGGTCGGTCAAATTCATAACCATTCCTGTAACAGGATCAATCTAAAGAATAAACAAAGATGAATGTTAATCTAATATTATCTTCATATTTAAACCTCTGTTAAATTTAAAGGCTATACAACGTGCAGAAATTGTGCCCACATCTGCCTTCATTCCCGGGACATTGATCTCAGTATGGAAACACCTGGTGCTCCAGGAGCCCCTTTCATGGTGCTGCTCTTCAACCTGTCCACAGATAGCACATTACAGATAACCCTCCGGGAAAGGAAAGGCCTGGAATGCCAGCAGCTCACCACACACAAAGACCAACACTGAAGCAATATTGATTTGAACACAATTTTTCAACACAGAATCCATCACGTTGGCTGAAAGAGCCCAGCAATCTGCACAAATCACACAGCTATTTTCAGCACGTACCTCTCCATGCACTGTCACCACAACTATGGGAAAGAAAACAGAATACCAAAAAACCACATGACTTTCAACAGAAAACAGCCAAATACAAGTTAACAACATAAATTAAGTATTAGATCTCTGCCCTGCAAAGTTCTATTTGTATTTTCCCTAAAACAGCAGTTCCTTTGGTTCAGATCTTTTTTATCAACCAAAGCAAGACTTGGCCAAGACAGAGAAGCTTAGCAGGAGCTTTGTTTAGGCAGAGGAGCCCAGCCAAAGCCAGAAAGGGTGTACACCCTTGCATGAATTTGATGCATGAATTTGATTGCATGAATTTGATGCACTACGTAGGAATGTCCACTAGATAGTGAGATGCTGCTTGATCACTGCCTGCAAAAGTAGAAAATGCACAGGAAGACATCTAGCAACACACGGAGATGGCCCAAGAGTGGGCAACACCTTTCTCAGCAAGGAAAACCACGACTGACCTAAAACTTTGATCCCTTTTCTCACAGGACCTATATACCGTTTAAGGTGATACTTTGTAAGTTAACAAAGTGCTTGTCTGAAGCACTTGAAAAATGATGATGAGAGCATTTTACAAATTAGTGACCTTTATATATGCTTTTCAGCTTTATACAAACACTATTAGGTATTATGTGATAAATGAGCAAACTAAGAATGATAAATATCATAGATCACGTAAGAGGCAGTAACTAAACTAGAAATTCTGATCTTCCGATACCTTTTGAATATTTTTACTCTACTGAACTATACGCTGTTGATACTCTATAGCTTACAGGGCTGTTCTTTTGAGATATCAGCTTTATCTCAAAGAATCAAGTCTCTTATAGTCGCATAAATTATTTTCTTGGAACACTGCCGCCAGTATAAGGTCCAACCTATTTTCCTGCCATACAGCTATTCCTAGCCAATATCTCCCTTTTGTCAGTCATTATTTACTCAAAGAATACAACCTAATTTTCTTAATACAATCTAATTTTAACATTAGCCTCAGCAATACCTAATTAGAAGGAAATACGGTGCCAAAAGAATCTCATTATGCACACTAAGGCCAAGGGGGAAGAAAAACCTGTTTAAACCATTCATTATCTCTAACAGAGCAGATACTTGCAAGGTAAAATTTAAGACACATCCAACCAAGGTAACAGATTTTTTTTTTTTTCATTCTGAACTTCCAGGTAACTTCTCATTTAAGGCTCAAATATGCTTTGTCCGTAAAGTTTCTTACTTATTAAAACTGTATTTGCTGATCATACTTTCATCCTTATTGGAAGGGCTAAAATTTCATCAGTTTTTCTCTCACCTTTATAATTGTGCCCATGGCCATTTGGATTGTTGCATTTCCCAAAGAGTTTCAAGTTTTCTTCATTACTCAGAGATTTGCTGACCAAAGGAAAAAAAAAAGAAAAATTTACATGACACAAGTTCAGACACCTTCTCTGTTCCCTATGTTTATTTGCTCTTGCCTTTGAAAAGCTTCACAATTTATTATTACCTTAGCTCACCAAAGGGAGAGTCATAAAGCAACTGGACTTCATTGTTCAGCTTTCTGTCAGGAACCAGTGTATGCCCCCTAATTGGGCTACTCTACAGCACAAATGAGCATCAACCCAGCCCACACCCTTGTTCTATGGCAAGACTCCAACTCATCTAGATGCTCAAGTCCCTCTCCTGAAAAATAGTTCCATGACCTACTACATCTCCTCTTTAACAACCTTGCATTGAGGCACCTGGGCCGCTCAGTGGTTGAACTGTTGAACGTCTGCCTTTGCCTCAGGTCGTGATCCCGGGGTCCTGGAATCGAGTCCTGCGTGGGGCTCCCTGCCGGAGGAGCCTGCTTCTCCCTCTGCCTGTGTCTCTGCCTCTCTCACGAATGAATAAAATATTTTTTGAAAATCTCGTTTCTCCTGAAAAATAATCACATGGCCCACTACCTCTCCTCTTTCCCGATCTCGCACTATTCGGCCTTAACCACTGCCCGTTGGCCACTCCGCCAATCCCGAGAGCGGGATTCAAATTAGGTGAAACTTTTAAAAATCACAATACTCAGCTGTAGTTCTGGACAGAAAACAATTTTTTTTTTAAGATTTTATTTATTTATTCATGAGAGAAACAGAGAGAGAGGCAGAGACACAGGCGGAGGGAGAAGCAGGCTCGTCCCAGGTCTCCAGGGTCACGCCCCGGGCTGCAGGCGGCGCTAAACCCGCGACCACCCAGGGATTCCCGTGGAAAACAATCTTCTTAATGAACGTTTCTGCCTGTGCCTGTGCCTGTCCCATCAACTAAGCCTCCTCAGTGAAGCCCAGGCGGGAACGCCCTGCCATGGCACGCCCTCCTGGGACTCTTCCTTCCTTCCCTCCGCTTCCTCCCGGCTCGCCCACGTATCCTTAGAGGCTTCGGCACGACGTGACTTCGCCGAACCCCTCCCCTCCCAAAGCTGCGCAGAGGACGCGGCCCGCACGGAAGGCGGGACGGGCGCGCCCCGGGCACCACTGCCTGCCCAGGGAAGGGACGGGGGGGGGGGCGGGGGCCGTGCTGGGAACGCTCCTCGGTCTGCGACGGGGAGGCGACCGAGAGGCCACAGCGCCCCCGCAGCAGCTCGTCTGGGGCTCGTCTGGGGCTCCCTGCGTTCAGGGCTGGGACACAGACCTGGGGGGCCGTACGGTCCCGGGGACGGCCGCGTGCCCCCGGGCAGCTCTGCTGAGCCCCCGCGCCCCCCGCCGCCTCCGCTCGGCCCCACAGCCGTCGCCGTCACCGGCCCTCCAGGTGCCCGCGGGCCCCGCCCCCCCGGCACCCCCCCCCCCCGCACCTGTGGAGTCGGTGGGTGGCGCTGAAGGAGACGAGGCGGGACACTCGCGCCCGGCGGCGCCCCCCGCCCCCGCCCCCGCCCGCCGCCGCCCGCCGCCGCCGCCGCCGCCGCCGCCCTCCCCGCTCATGGCCTCGCCTTCCCGCGGCGTCAGCGGAGGGGCGGGGCGGGCGGCGCGCCCGCGGCTGCGCAGTGCGGCCGGCGCCCTGGGCCGCCCTCTCCGCTCCGCGCGGCAGCTGGCTCCCCCTGCTGGCCTGGAGGCAGTAAAGCGAGCGTCCCCGAGGGCCGGAGTCTGTTGGCTCCCTGGGGGCGGGTTCAGCCGGGCAAACCTCCCCGAGGTCAGAAGAGGTGGTAGGGACGGCTTTCCTTAGGACTGCTCGGCTTTAGGCCACTTGGGGCCAGGAGGGTCGGCCTGGGTACTCTCTGGACACCGGAGGGGCCTCTTGGAGGTGCTCTTGCCACTCCCTTCCAGAGAGCCCCGGTTACGACCACCGCCGCTGGCTGGGTATTCTGAGATGAGCCCCAGATCCAAACTACTCAGCATAAAGGGAGCGGGAATTTCAGGGCACACGTGGGACCACTTGGCTTTCGGAAATGATACTACCTTTGGACTGTTTGTGCAGATTCTTCTTACTAGGGGAAATCCTCGCGCTTTCCTGGTCATCCACACACATGAAGCCATTTGTGTGTGAACACACCCAGTCATGCACACACACACACCCTAGCAATCCTCGGTCCTCTGTGGACACGTCTGCAGTGAACGGAGCTTGTTTCCTCTCACTTACTTATAAGCAGTATCCACGCTACCTGCAGTTCCCAGTCGTAGGCCCCCTCTTTTCTCCATCCATTCCCTCACTAAATACTTACCGAGTAGCTAACCATGAGGCTGGCAGGGTTCCAGGTACTGGGAAGGACAGATTAAATCAAGAGAGTGGCAGGCGTACAGCCTCCAAAAAGTGACTTCTCTCAAACGTCTCCTGTCTGCTGCTACATACTCTGCGTTATAAAGTATTACCATGGGACACCTGGGTGGCTCCGCGGTTAAGCCTGCCTTCAGCTCAGGGCGGATCCTGGAGTCCCTAGATGGAGTCCCACATTGGGCTCCCAGCATGGAGCCCGCTTCTCCCTTTCCCTGTGTCTCTGCCTCTCTCCTTTCTCTTTCTGTGTCTCTCATGAATAAATAAATAAAATCTTAAAAAAAAAAAAAAGTATTGCCATGGAGCAACCTTTCTTAACACCTTTTCAGATATTTTTATTCTCTCCCCCACCTCGAGTTCACCTCGAGGGATGAACTTCGGAAATATCTGAGATAGACACTACCTAGTTCAGTCCTCTCACCAATGGGAAAACACGGGCCCAGATAAGTGAATTACTCATCCAAGATCCTACAATAAAACAGTATTTCCTGGGTGTTGACCACATCTAGGATAGAATACTTGACTCATTTTGAATGGAGTCATAAGAATAAAAAATACAAAAAAAAAAAAAAAGAATAAAAAATACAAGGATCCCTGGGTGGCCCAGTGGTTTGGCGCCTGCCTTTGGCCCAGGGCGCAATCCTGGAGACCCGAGATCGAATCCCATGTCGGGCTCCCGGTGCATGGAGCCTGTTTCTGCCTCTGTGTGTGTGTGTGTGTGTGTGTGTGTGTGTGTGTGACTATCATAAATAAATAAAAATTAAAAAAAAGAATACAAAGCTGAAAGAACTTATGATAAATTGCTGTTATTCAGTTACTGTAGTATGGCATTACATTTGCAGAGCTCTTTCTCTAAATGTTTTTAGTAAAGGTACTAAATTCACCCTTAGTGATACTGTTATGAGCTCAGTAATGCCCCCCCCAAATTAATGTGTTGAGCCTCCAGTAACTCAAAATATGACTTTATTTGGGAAAGGGTCTTTGCAGATGTAATTAGTTAATAGTCACTGGAGAGGTCCCTTTCCTTCTTCCTTGTACATCACATACTCCCTTTCCTTGAGTCTCTAGACACTGCTGAGTGATGAGAGGGGAAGAGGCCCTGCAGAGGCTTTGAAGCCTAGTCAAATGCTCACTCAATTTACCAAAACTCTCTGCGCTGGATTATCAGGCATAGGCTATTACAAAATGTCATTGATCCTTTTTTGTCTTCTCCATCAAGAACCTCATAGCTAGCAGAACCATGGCAGAATTTAGGCACCTTTGGGTCCAAACCTTATGATTGTACTGCTAACCTTTATATGCTTGAACTTCACTCCCTGTGATTAGGATGGAGTTTATAGAGGAAAGACACTTATCAGCTCCACGTACTCCCAGATGTCAGCTAGAATCTCCTCCACCCTTTAGATCCAGAGAAGATCTAAAACAATCTTCCACACCTTGTCTGGGAAAGTACAATGCCTTTTTGAGGATTTCTGTGAGATATGAGGGGATTTTACGGTGACTTCAGCCTCGAAGCTCCCCCATCTGCTGTATTAGCTCTACTCCGGTATCTTCTCGTCATTCTGTTACTCACTGCTTTTGTTCCGTGTTTCATCAACTCAGACACAAAACTTAGAACTTTCACTTTATTGCCACAATATAAACTCTTACACACAGCATCTGTGTACCTGTGGGAACACTTCACTGAAAAGAACAGGGTTTATGATGTCTGCAACAACTCCTGAGGATAACTGGGAACAAACTGGCGATGCTGGTCCAGGGTTGTGCATGTATCTAACTGCGAGTTCACAGTTGCCTAGAACTACAGCTCTAGGAGGCTTCCCCAGCAACATTCAACATGCAGAGGGAGGGAGGACAGTGTAACGGGCCTGAAACTGGACTGAAGTGGAGGGAGGAAGTACAACTGAAGGAAAAAGGAACAAGGGATCTTGAAGGTATTGGCAAGAGTGTGGCTTACATGACAGACATATGGCAGATTTGGGCGGTTGTTAAAAACTGGTGGGGGGGGGTATGAATGTAGAGATTATATGGCCTCTAGTGCCACCTGTTGCCCAATTGAATGAAGAACTACCAACTCCTCTTCAATTTCTGGAGAACCATATACCTGGAGATGAGAAGAAATTTTAGTGACATCCCTCAAAACAACCCTCCCAAGGCTGAGCTGGGGTAGAAGGTGGCAGCTAGCAGTTCAACTGCCGTGCCCCCCGTGGACAGCGGAGAAACAGTGTGGAAGAAAGCTTCTAAGCATGACATAACTGGCTTCCTGTCCTCCCTGGGCCCCTTTGAAGCTGTGCTAATAGGCAGGCTGTGATGGAAGAAACAAAGTGCTTTTTAGAGCTGTATTCATATCTTACTATCTATAATTATTTGTATTTTTTTCCCAAGTGTGAGGACCTCTGTCACCCCCCTACCTGGTGGTGGTAATAACACAGCTCTACTTTTTCTTTCGTGTATTCTTATGACCTAGAGGAAGATCTAGCTAGTAAATATAAATTTAAAGCTCTCTTCAAAAGGATGTATCAACACTTGCTTCATGTTTTTAAGGATGAGCCCTAAGAAATTATAAAACCATGACTATCTCAAGAACTGTTTTTAATAGAAATTTTAAAACCAGATGTCTGTGGTTTGGAAGGGAAGGTGTTCTTTTTGTTCTCTCTTTTGTACAGAATATGTTCATCTCAGAGCTAGTTTCCAGGCATTTCCAGGTGTTCTATCAGGTGGCTACAAAGGTGCCATGGAACCCATAAGGCATTCGCACGGGCACTTCTGCTCGGCCCAGTTCTTCAAAGTTCTTGGCATCCAAGACTAGGAGAAAATTGTTTTCATTCTAGAATAGAAAGACAATACTGAAAATCCTTTTGATCACGTCTTATGCATCTTCCTATCTATCTTCAGCATCTAGCACAGTGCCTTGGCTATCTATACATTCACTAAATGTTTGCTGAATGGCTGAACTAGCCTGAAAAGGAAATCATGGCTGAAGAAGTTCACACAGAGAGTGAAGAAATTAAGTTGTCTATACCAATTACCTTCATAGAATCTCTCAGAGCTTAAGGATCTTTTTACCTGTTCCTTTTCAATCTCCTAAGAGACATAGAATTCTTTTCTTCCAAATTAGAAATGCTTCCATTTCATGTTACTTTGGAGCTGTACAAAGGGTAGCATTACAAGGCACACTGATATTTGCCCTGGCCTAATTACAGGAGTGGTAAGTACATGGTGTGAGGACAAAGTCCTTCTAGGCCTATGGCAGGTATTAGTAATTGATCATAGCACTTTCCTCACTGAACCCTTAAAAAGCCTCAGAATCCTATACCCAGGCAGTCACTAATAACTGATTTGCCACAAGACTGACTTAGACAAGAAGTTAAAATATCATGATGACTGAGACACTAAGGCTCACCCCATTACACTTTTGGGGCACTCTGATGAAACTGGCAGTACAAATGGTGGCATGAACGTCAGACTAGATGTCAGAAGACAGACTGAAACATTGTCTTTACCACTATGAGATCTGACACAAGCTGTCTCAACTTCTAAAAGTTACAAATTCCACATGCATAAAATGATATCCAACAAAGCTGTTCTGATGAGTAAATATAGTGATATGTGTGAAAATCGTTTGTAAATGAATTTCTGTGCAAATATAAATTATGACTATATAGAGACAGAGCTTTAAAGCAATAATAAAGCACAGATTATGATTTTTAAAAGGGCATGTACATGTGAATAGAGGAAGAAAAGGGAGAAAGTGCTATATTGGAATCAAAAACTATTGACAGGGATACCTGGGTAGTGCAGTGGTTTGGCGCCTGCCTTTGGCCCAGGGCGCGATCCTGGAGACCCGGGATCGAATCCCACGTCGGGCTCCCGGTGCATGGAGCCTGCTTCTCCCTCTGCCTGTGTCTCTGCCTCTGTGTGTGTGTGTGTGTGTGTGTGTGTGTGACTATCATAAATAAATAAAAATTAAAAAAAAAAACTATTGACAGCATCACTGAATATAATCCTCAAAAGGCTCAGTGCTACTTTTCTCTCTGACTAGTGATGGGAAGATATATCTACCTGGTCCGGGGTGATCACCACTGAGAGAATAACCCCACCATCTTCTTCTCTGGTTCCTGGTGCTGGGACAAACACAGGTTCCGAGGGGTAAAAGCCATCTTCTCTCCAAATCTAGAAGTCCCCCAAAACAGTATTTGATTGAAGGCTAATTATGATCAGGAAGCTATTGATAGCTTTTATCACATGTCATGAATTTGGCTGTCAGTACAATATTCCAACAGTAAAAGAATCAGGCTCACTGAGTTGAGAGGAGGAGGGGGGTGTTTTTGCAGCTGCAGACTCCATCATCATCAGACACAATTTGTGCAATTATAATTTCTCATCCACCTGAAACATAAGTGTCCCAACAACCTGAACCCCATGATTTCTTTAAAAATAACATCAAGCGCAGACTTGTTTTTCTGGGCTTGTGATTCATTTAAAACTCCATAGATGGAATATTCCCCTAGCTTAGTGATTCCATGGTTCTCAAACTTAAGAAAAGTAAATAGCTGAGCTGCTTATATAATATTAAAGAATCTCAAAAGCTACTTTAACAAAACAGAAATTCAATTCAAATATCATGATGACTGAGACACTAAGTGATGTGAGTAGAGGAAGATAAGGGAGACTCATTCAATTCACTACTCACATTCAATTCAATTCAAAGGGCAAAGCAGGTCTTTTAAAACTTCAGAAAGGGAGGGCTACATGGGAGGCTCAGCTGATTAAGCATCTGCCTTAGGCTCAGGTCACGATCTCAGGGTCCTGGGATCCAGCCCAACATCTTCAGGCTCTGCTCAGCGGGGAGTCTGCTTCTTCCTCTCCCTCTGCCACTCCCCACCCCACTCATGCCCTCTTGCTCTCTCTCATATAAATAAAATTTTAAAAATAGAGTTCAAAAAAAATAGAGTTCAGAAAGGAAAAAAATATTTTCATTACCGTCAGTGTCTTGTTCACAACATCAACCTTGATCAGAGAATCCCCCACCAAATGCCGAAAGCCACAGCCGTAGAAGAAGCGATACTTTTTGCCACTGAATTGGCCATAGTTGATCTGGGGAAATTCAACACCTCCTTCCTCCTCAAGATCCTCAGGATGTAGATTTTCATAAGAACACCAAATCTAAAAGAGATCCCAAAAAAAGATTTGCAGTTGTTGCTTTCTTTCTCACTTATTTTACACAGCGTAGGTCAGTGAGAGGACTGGGTTTACCACAGGGCTTGGGAATTGAGACTTTCTAAGTATTTTTATCCATTGTTCCTCTTTCCATCATATGTACGAATGCATAAAAGGTTATCGAGTTTGGGGGCACCTGCGTGGCTCAGTCGGTTAAGCATCCAACCTTTGATGTCAGCTCAGGTCATGATCTTGGGGTTGTGAGATCAAGCCCCATGCCAGGCTCTGCACTGTGTATGGAGCCTGCTTAAGAGTCTCTCTCTCCAAGCAGAACCCCTCTTACACTGTTGGAATGTAAACTGGTGCGGTTGCTCTGAAGAATAGTATGGAGGTTCCCCAAAAAGTTAAAACTAGAGCTATCCTACAACCCAGCAATTGCACTACTAGGTATTTATCCAAAGGATACAAACATAGTATTTTGAAGGGGCACATGCATCCCAATGTTTATAGCAGCAATGTCCACAATAGCCAAACTATGGAAAGAGCCCAGATGTCCACTGTTCATTGACAGATGAATGGATAAAGAAGATGTGCCATATTATATATATATAACATATTATACACACACATATATATGTATATAATGGAATATTATTCAGCCATCAAAAAGAATGAAATCTTGCCATATGCAAAGATGTGGATGGAACTGGAGGGTATTATGCTAAAGTGAAATAAGTCAGAGAAAGACAAATACTGTATGATTTCACTCATATGTGTAATTTAAGAAACAAAGCAGAAGATCAGAGGGGAAGGGAAGAAAGAATAAAATAAGATGAAATCAGAAAGGGAGACTAACCATAAAAGACTCTTAACTATAGGAAACAAACTGAGGGTCACTGGAAGGAAGGTAGGTGGGAGGATGGGGTAACTGGGTAATGGGCATTAAGGAAGGCATGTGATATAATGAGCACTGAGTATTATATACAACAGATGAGTCACTAAATTCTACCTCTGAAATTAATAATACAGTATGTGTTAATTTAAAAAAATTCTGCCCTTTTGCACACATATCCTCCTCTGCTTGCACACATATGCACACTCTCAAACGAGAAAAAAAAATTATCAGGTTTTGTGACTGTCACATGGCATGTGGAAGTGTGCTTTTTTTACTCTACTAAAGCTGAAATATTTATAGCTACACAATGACATGCCTGTGGTAAGTGCAAACTATTTAAAAGGTAAAGATGATCAATACCAATATCAAATACTTAGATGTTCCATAACGATTAGAGAATTGCATGTTTCAAAATACAAAAAGTAAACAGACTGCTGACTCCTACTCAGAATTCTGCTGTTCCTGTGACCTTACTCTGCTCAGTCGAATGTTATCAGACTTATTGG